CGGAGGTGCGGGGCGCGGCAGAGCTGCGGAGGCGCCTCGGGGCTTGGCGGGGGGGGGGGGGGGCCCGTGCCCGAAGCCGCCCAAGCCGAGCACGGGGACCGAGACGCCCAGGGTCTGCCCTGGGAGGAGGAGGAGGAGGAGGAGGAGGAGGAGGAGGAGGAGGAGGAGGAGGAGGAGGGTCTGCCCTGGGGCCCAGTGGTGACACGCTTCTGCGGCAGCTCATGGGAGCCTTCGTGTCATCTCACCGACTCTCGCGAGCCGACGCGAGCCGACGCCACGTCGGCGCCAACTCGACGCTGCTCGACGCTGAATCAGCGCTTGCTCCTCGATTCCCAGACGCTAGCGCACGAGATTGCACTGCAACGACGGAATTACGAAGACATACAAGGCTCCCACGAAATGCTACCGAAGCACGGCAAGTTCGCGTCGTGTTGAACCCGACGTTGGTTCCTGACACCGCGGGGATCGTTCAAACTTGAACGATCGGCCGTTCCTATAACGCCGGATCGTTCAACGACGGGCCCATTCTGGGCAACGGGCGGCGTTCAACCTCACACGCACGCGCTGGAGTCGCCGCCGGTCGGCACGACGCGAACCTGCTGTGCACTGTCCCTGGTCGCCTGGCTGAAGTGGACGTCAGCAGTGCTCATTGTCGCCTTTGCCGACCCCGCCCCGTGATCTACCCGCGATCAGCCCAGCCATCCACGCGCGACCGGACATGGGCAAACCCCGCGCTCGGCAATCAACGCGCGATGTCGCCCCGCCAGACATGCGTGCTGGTCTTTTCCAGGACGGCGTCCCCGGAAGTCCCGACCCTCTCCCTGGGACCGGCTTTTCATCCCGAGTCGGCTTTCGACGCCCCCGGGGCCCCGCGAGGGCCCTCAGAGGCCGAAAACGGCGAAGAACTTCCGTCCTGACTCTTGTTTGCCACGGCGCGACCACGTCTGGGGCGAGGTCGCCCCGGTGCATGCTGCGCCCCTGGAGCGCCCGGCATCCTCGAGGACCGGTCGGACTCCGTCCTTCCTGCCTCTGGCAGGTTCGCACCGTGCGGCCCCAGGGGCCGCCCCGTTGGCACGGCTCCTACCCTCAGGTCGGGCGTGTGTTCTCCTGCAGGCGGACTGCGGAGGAAGAGCAATCGAAAATGCCCAACAACAGCCAAAAAAACAATCAAAGCATCGTCCCCAGACTTTTTGTTTTGATCTGTGCTTGAGTAGTCCTCCTGTTGAGGGACAGGCCCGATTTAATCTAACCCGGAGCCGCCAAGGCCCCGCGTAGACTGAGACCAGAGACGGGCGCACCTGGGGCTCGGTAACACGCGTACGGGTGCGCCCCTTCAGAGGAACAAAAAAACGGCATGAACTGGGAAGTACAAGGACATTCTAGTACTACATGCTCTCCTTGGAAGCGCGCGTCCGACCCGAACATATAGTATACCCATCTTGTAGTATATCGTTTCCCGAGCGGTACGGCCAGAAAGCGCCCGCCACGAAGCATATAATGTAAGATTTGTCGGAGCGCGAGTCACCCCTGGGGGTGCGACGCACACATAGTATTAGTATGTTGGGGTGTGCCGCCGATGAACGTTCAGTTCTGGAGCCCCACACGGGTTTCTGGGATCGGCGCTGGGGCCCCCCTGGCGGCGTCTCCGGTGCCGCCACTTTGCGCGCTCCGCGCGCCAGGGAGAGGGTCCATCGCCGATCCAAGAAATCCGCGCAAAGCTTCAAAATGAGCGGCGGCCCGTGGGGGAAGTGAAAAGGGGCGGGCCTTCTCAGAAGGCTCGGAAATTTCTGGGCAGCCCGAAAAGTGTTCAAAACCCTCCCCGAAGTCACAGCGAACTTCTCGAAGGCCAGGGGGCTTCTGGGAAGCCCCGCCGCCTTCTGAGGAGGCCTCCTCCTTCTCCCGTCCCCCCTCACCTCGCTCGCCGCCGACAACAGCCTGCGTGCATGCAGCGTGTGCTTCGAAGTACAGGAGAAAGAACTGCACGAACATAATTTTCGACGGTCCGCGCGGATTACTTGGATCTGCGCAGGACCTCCCTCCCTGGCGCACGAAGGGCGCCAGGGGCGGCGCCGGAGGCGCCGCCAGGGCGCTCCAGCGCGGACCCAAGAAGTCCGCGCGAAGCGCCAAGAGTTTATGTTTGCGTGTAGCGTTATTTCTTCTTCGATCTTCAAAGTACGCGCGCCGTGGCCGTCCGCGGCGCGGGGCCGACTCGGGGACGTCGGCGGGGGTGGCGCTCCCCTGCCCCGCCAGGGCCGGGGCTCCGGTCAGAGCAGGCGGCGCGACGGCGGCGAAGCCTCGAACGGCAGCAGCCCCATGAACACGAGAGGCTGCGTTGCGGACTGAGGGCCTCCACGTGATACGGGGGCGTGCGCTAGCTCCCGCCACTCCCCCTCCCTGGGGAGACCAAGGGGTACCGATGCCGCTACTCCCCTCTCCCGGGGTGCGTTCCGACCAGAATTTCGAGGCGAATCCAACGGTGACGACGATGGGCCTCCGAAGAGACCCAAAAATAGGAAAACGCGCGGAGCGTAGCGGTATGGATTCCTTTTCCTCCTCTGACACTTCTCCTGCACTGGCCAGACACCAGGGTTCTGTGGTCGCCTCTGGCCTCCTCCTCCTCCTCCTCCTCCTCCTCCTCCTCCTCCTCTTCCTCTTCCTCGTCCTCGTCCTCCTCCTCCTCCTCCTCCTCATCCTCCTACTCCTCCTGCTCCTTTGGCCTCCTCCTCCTCCTCCTCCTCCTCTTCTTCTGCTTATTATTATTATTATTATTATTATTATTATTATTTATTATTATTATTATTTATTATTATTATTATTATTATTATTACTATTATTTGTCCTCATCCTCCTCCTCCTCCTCCTCCTCCTCCTCTCCTCCTCCCTCCTCCTCCTCCACCTCCGCCTCCTCCTCCTCCTCCTCCTCCGCCCCATTCCCGCCTCCTCCTCCTCCTCCTCCTCCTCCTCCTCCTCCTCCTCCTCCTCCTCCTCCTCCTCCTCCTCCGCCTCCACCTCCTCCTCCTCCTCCTCCTCCTCCTCCTCCTCCTCCTCCTCCTCCTCCTCCTCCTCCTCCCCGTCCCCTGATCTCCCCGCGCGCGGCGGCTTGGCCCCCCCACCCCCCCGTCGGGGCACCACGCCGGGAGGGCACAGCGGCGCGAGAAGCCTGCGCGCGCGATGAGGCCGAGGGGCGGCGAAGCCGGCCGGGGAAGGTTCTGAGTCAACAGGGGGGCGGGGGGCACAGCTGCGAGAGCGAGGAGGAGGAGGAGGAGGAGGAGGACGAGGAGGAGGAGGAGGAAGAGCGAGGTTGAGGAGGAGGGATAGGGGGAGGAGCGCGGAGGAGGAGGAGGAGGAGGAGGAGGAGGAGGACGAGGAGGAGGAGGAGGAGGAGGCGAAGGAGCAAGGAGGAGGAAGACGAGGACGAGGAGGACGAGGAGGAGGAGGGGGAGGAGGATGACGGGGAGGAGGTAAGGTGAGGTGAGGTGGGAACGGTACGGTAGGGTGAGGCAAATGGGTAACATGACTGCAACATGGTGCAAGGTAGGGTCATGTAATGACGCGTAGGGTAGGGTAGGGTAGGGTGGGGTAGGGTAAAGGTACAGACAATAGCAGAGGTACAGGGTAATAGGAAAGTGAAGGTAAAAGTACAGGTAAATCTGCATATACATAGTATCCCGGCAAAGCAACCTAACAGCGATGTGTAGGAGCATATCTGGAAGCATTCCCCTGAAGATTCAGATGAGAAGCCAGTTGTAGAATTCTGCTGTTCTCGCAGTCGTAGTCGCATTCGCGATGAAAGTCGCAGTGGCAACGGCAGTCGCAGTCACAGCCTCAGCCTCAGCCTGCCTCAGACTCAGTCTGCCTCAGCCTCAGCCTCAGCCTGCCTCGGCCTCAGCATCAGTCTGCCTTCAGCCTCGGCCTCAGCCTCCGCCTGCCTCAGCCTCACCCTGCATGAGCCTCAGCCTCAGCCTCAGCCTGCCTCAGCATCAGCCTGCCTCAGCCTCAGCCTCAGCCTGCCTCTGCCTCAGCCTCAGCCTGCTTCAGCCTCAGCCTCAGTCTGCCTGCCTCGGCCTCAGCCTCGCTCAGCCTCAGCCTCACCTCAGCCTCAGCCCTCAGCCTCAGCCTCAGCCTCAGCCTCAGCCTCAGCCTCAGCCTGCCTCATCATCAGCCTCAGCCTCAGCCTCAGCCTGCCTCAGCCTCAGCCTCAGCCTCAGCCTCAGCCTCAGCCTCAGCCTCAGCCTGCTTCAGCCTCAGCCTCAGTCTGCCTTCAGCCTCGGCCTCAGCCTCAGCCTGCCTCAGCCTCAGCCTGCATCAGCCTCAGCCTCAGCCTCAGCCTGCCTCAGCATCAGCCTGCCTCAGCCTCAGCCTCAGCCTGCCTCAGCCTCAGCCTCAGCCTGCTTCAGCCTCAGCCTCAGTCTGCCTTCAGCCTCGGCCTCAGCCTCAGCCTGCCTCAGCCTCAGCCTGCCTCAGCCTCAGCCTCAGCCTGCCTCAGCATTCAAAATGTGGCCCGGGAATGGAGTTCTGGGAACTAGCCTGCCTCAGCATCAGCCTGCCTCAGCCTCAGCCTCAGCCTCAGCCTCAGCCTCAGCCTCAGCCTCAGCCTGCTTCAGCTTCAGCCTCAGTCTGCCTCAGCCTCAGCCTGCATCAGCCTCAGCCTCAGCCTCAGCCTGCCTCAGCATCAGCCTGCCTCAGCCTCAGCCTCAGCCTCAGCCTCAGCCTCAGCCTCAGTTTCAGTCTGCCTTCAGCCTCGGCCTCAGCCTCAGCCTGCCCCAGCCTCAGCATCAGCCTGCCTCAGCATTCAAAATGTGGCCCGGGAATGGTGTTCTGGGAACACGAAGAACACGAAGTGGCCTACAGTTGGCTCCGGGCATTCAAAATCATGCCCAGGAATGGTGTTTTGGGAACACGAAGAACACGAAGTGGCCTACAGTTGGCTCCGGGCATTCAAAATGTGGCCCGGGAATGGTGTTCTGGGAACACGAAGAACACGAAGTGGCCTACAGTTGGCTCCGGGCATTCAAAATCATGCCCAGGAATGGAGTTCTGGGAACTCCAAGACCACGAAAAGCGTTACTGTTTGCTTAAAACGAGTTCCCCGGCATCCTCCCCGCATCCTCCCCCGGATCACGCCCAGACCCCCCTGGGGCGACATGATACTCTCTTTTGACCGTACTAGAAGCCTATCAGTCTTCGCTGTCAGGTAATAAAAAATTATCCCGGCAAAGCAACCTAACAGCGATGTGTAGGAGCATATCTGGAAGCATTCCCCTTAAGATTCACATGAGAATCCAGTAGTAGAATTCTGCTGTTCTCGCAGTGGCAGTCGCATTCGCGATGAAAGTCGCAGTGGCAACGGCAGTCGCAGTCACAGCCTCAGCCTCAGCCTGCCTCAGCCTCAGCCTCAGCCTGCCTCAGCCTCAGCCTCAGCCTGCTTCAGCCTCAGCTTCAGTCTGCCTTCAGCCTCGGCCTCAGCCTCAGCCTGCCTCAGCCTCAGCCTGCATCAGCCTCAGCCTCAGCCTCAGCCTGCCTCAGCATCAGCCTGCCTCAGCCTCAGCCTCAGCCTGCCTCAGCCTCAGCCTCAGCCTGCTTCAGCCTCAGCCTCAGTCTGCCTTCAGCCTCGGCCTCAGCCTCAGCCTGCCTCAGCCTCAGCCTGCATCAGCCTCAGCCTCAGCCTCAGCCTGCCTCAGCATCAGCCTGCCTCAGCCTCAGCCTCAGCCTGCCTCAGCCTCAGCCTCAGCCTGCTTCAGCCTCAGCCTCAGTCTGCCTTCAGCCTCGGCCTCAGCCTCAGCCTGCCTCAGCCTCAGCCTGCATCAGCCTCAGCCTCAGCCTCAGCCTGCCTCAGCATCAGCCTGCCTCAGCCTCAGCCTCAGCCTGCCTCAGCCTCAGCCTCAGCCTGCTTCAGCCTCAGCCTCAGTCTGCCTTCAGCCTCGGCCTCAGCCTCAGCCTGCCTCAGCCTCAGCCTGCATCAGCCTCAGCCTCAGCCTCAGCCTGCCTCAGCATCAGCCTGCCTCAGCCTCAGCCTCAGCCTGCCTCAGCCTCAGCCTCAGCCTGCTTCAGCCTCAGCCTCAGTCTGCCTTCAGCCTCGGCCTCAGCCTCAGCCTGCCTCAGCCTCAGCCTGCATCAGCCTCAGCCTCAGCCTCAGCCTGCCTCAGCATCAGCCTGCCTCAGCCTCAGCCTCAGCCTGCCTCAGCCTCAGCCTCAGCCTGCTTCAGCCTGAGCCTCAGTCTGCCTTCAGCCTCGGCCTCAGCCTCAGCCTGCCTCAGCCTCAGCCTCAGCCTGCCTCAGCATTCAAAATGTGGCCCGGGAATGGAGTTCTGGGAACTCGAAGAACACGAAGTGGCCTGCAGTTGGCTCCGGGCATTCAAAATCATGCCCAGGAATGGAGTTCTGGGAACTCGAAAACCACGAAGTGGCCTACAGTTGGCTCCGGGCATTCAAAATCATGCCCAGGAATGGAGTTCTGGGAACTCGAAGACACGAAGTGGCCTACAGTTGGCTCCGGGCATTCAAAATGTGGCCCAGGAATGAGTTCTGGGAACTCGAAGACCACGAAGTAGCCTACAGTTGGCTCCGGGCATTCAGAATGTGGCCCGGGAATGGAGTTTTGGGAACTCGAAGAGCACGACGTGGCCTACAGTTGGCTCCGGGCATTCAAAATGTGGCCCGGGAATGGAATTCTGGGAACTCGAAGAACACGAAGTGGCTTACAGTTGGCTCCGGGCATCCAAAATGTGGCCCGGGAATGGAGTTCTGGGAAGTCGGAGAGCACGAAGTGACCTACAGTTGGCTCCGGGCATCCAAAATGTGGCCCGGGAATGGAGTTCTGGGAGGTCGAAGAGCACGAAGTGTGTGACTGTTTGCTTAAAACGAGCCCGGCCCTGAGCCCAGCCCTCGCTGTCCGGATGCCGCCCAGACCTCCCTTCTGAGTCATCAGATGCTTTCTTTTGACACCACTAGAAACCTATCAGTCTTCGCTGTTTGGTAACTATCAGCATGTCCTGGCATTAAGGTGCGCAGTAGGCGCTGCGCAGTTCCTTTGAAAGGAAATCTTCGAAAGCAGGGCTGTAGCCAAGAAGGCTACGGGGACGATGATGATGATGATGATGATGAAAATGATGAGTCTTGGAAGTCTGGGAAGTGGAAGAGCACGAAATGGCCTACAGTTGGCTCCGGGCATTCAAAATGTGGCCCGGGAGTGGAGTTCGGGGAAGTGGAAGAGCACGAAGTGGCCTACAGTTGGCTCCGGGCATTCAAAATGTGGCCCGGGAATTGTGTTCTGGGAAGTCCAAGAGCACGAAGTGGCCTACAGTTGGCTCCGGGCATCCAAAATGTGGCCCGGGAATGGAGTTCTGGGAAGTCGAAGAACACGAAGTGGCTTACAATTGGCTCCGGGCATCCAAAATCTGGCCCGGGAATGGAGTTCTGAGAAATCGAAGAGCGCGAAGTGGCCTACAGTTGGCTCCGGGCATTCGAAATGTGGCCCGGGAATGGAGTTCTGGGAGGTCGAAGAGCACGAAGTGTGTGACTGTTTGCTTAAAACGAGCCCGGCCCTCGCCTGTCCAGCTCCCGCCCAGACCCCCTGGGGAGTCATCGGATGCTCTCTTTTGACCCCATCAGAAACCTATCATTCGCTGTTAGGTAATAGCGGTATAACGAACAAGGCAATGTGTGAAAGACACATGTGCGTACCGGTGAAGGTAAAGATGGGGGAGATAGTGAAAGTGGTACATGGAAAAAAGTAAGGGTACATGTGGAGGTAAACATGGAGGTAAAGATGAAGGTAACGGTACGGTAAGGTAAAGCAGCAACCAGCCTGACCGTTTGGGCAGCCAAAGGATCCAAGCTCGCAAGCTGAGGGCAGGAGGCGAGGGAGGTGGAGAGTGGCCGCAGGACGCCTCAGAAGACTTTTCGGGCCACGACAGACGGCCCCAACAGCCCCGAAGGCCGCACCTGCGGGCAGCCCAAGAAGAGGAGAGGAGGAGGAGGAGGAGGAGGAGGAGGAGGAGGAGGAGGAGGCGGACGAGGAGGAAAGAGGGAGGAGGGAGGGAGGAGGAGGAGGAGGAGGAGGAGGAGGAGGAGGAGGAGGAGGAGGAGGAGGAGGAGGAGGAGGGAGGAGGGAGGAGGGAGGAGGGAGGAGGAGGAGGAGGGGGGGATCGATCGATCGAT